TGACAGATGAGATTTGTCCCAGATATTAACTTTTATCCCTAGTTTAACCCTTTCCTGACCAACGCTGTGGTTGTCTCCGGCTGGTCCAGAGGTGAAGCGTGAAGCTTTTTCCGCTGGCTGGGAAGGTGCAAGGGGGCGGCGGTCGCTTGGCTCCCGCGGTCGCAATAGGCCGAGCGGCGCTGAGCTGCGAGGGCCGTCAATACCGCTCGCGGTTTTAATTCACATTTGTAATTTCAGGTGGAATTTGCTCCTTAGGGCTTTAGGGGTTAAACACGTTTCCCTTCTGCAGCACAAACGGACCAGATCTACTCATTTCATCTAAAAACCTGCAGATGTGCTTTCAGTAATCTCATCTTAAACTTCTTCCTCAGCCTTTCAGACCTTTGTTTTTCAATCTGTCAATAAACGATTTGGATTAATGAAGCGTTTCTGACCGGCAGCCACTCTCTGCCTTCGTTATCTCTAACGAGCTGCAGGAAGTTATGCAACAGCTTCAGCTGATGTAAACGTGGAGGAAGCCTAATCACTGCCTCGCCTGAACTGCTTTTTCACAGCGGCTGATGGACGGAGCGATGCCGGCGATGAACGGCGCGGCCGGCGGCGAGGACTACCAGCAGTGGATGGAGAGCAAGGCGGCCCAGAGCAAGGCCTCGCCGCAGCCTCAGCGGCACGGAGCAGAGGTCTACTCCAACACCCTGCCTGTGCGAAAGGCCGCCCCCACCAAGAGCAAGACCCCCCTCTGTAAGGATGCAAACTCACAGAACAGGTTCAGTCTAATCCGGTTATTGTAGTAATCTGATTACATCTGAGGATAAAAACCGATATGGAGAGAAATTAGTTCCAGGATTATTTAAACCAAAACAACATGTTTTGAAAAGAAATGTTTATAAAATGCAACTCTGAAAAACTTTTAGATATAAAGGAAGTAAATTAATGTTTCTGCTAAAGTTGAACCAGGATTTCCAGTCGGGATCCGGACCCCAGTCCGCTAACCCATGACCTCTGCGCTAGAAGCTCAGAGTTCATCTACGCTTTGATTCATACTTTATAAAACAAACTATACTTTCATACAGCCTTTGCTAACCGATACACATTTAAACATTTATGCCATCTAAATTAAAGTTATAGTGGACAAATTTCTTTCAGGTTTGAGTTCTGGGATGAACATTTAATCAATTTTCATCACTTACCTACTTTTATCAATAATCGTTCTGCATAAAATAAATATTTATGTCGACTAATATCTACATAAAATTGATTATTTAACAAGTTATTATTAAAGTAGTTCTCACTGATTTCACTAAAGACTCCTAGATGAATTCTCTTTAACTCTTATAACACAAAGTCTAGTTCTGAAAAAAACATTTATTCTGGATTTATCATCTTTAATGTTGGCATATTGATGTGCATAATTAGTGTTTTTCCTGTCAAGAAATTCCAAAAAAGTTTAAAAAAAAAATCAATCCACTGGACTTTGTTTCCACAATTGAAGACGTTTTGCTTCCCATCCAGGAAGCTTTTTCAATTCAAAATGCAGAACAGGCGAGGTCTTCTGTTCCTCTGTGATTGTTGGCCTGTTCATCCAATCCAACTATTCCCTCTAACGACCCCCCTTTCAGAGACATAGACAGGTATGGGGCATTGTGGACCCATTCGTCTGTTTCTATTTGCATGTTTTCAAAAATCAAATAAGGCTTTGTTGGGCTGCTGGATAAAGCCTAGAACTAAACGCTTTTTCTGACATTTGGAATTGAAAAAAGCTTCCTGGATGGAAGAGAAACGTCTTCAAACTTGGAAACAAAGTCCAGAGGATTGATTTTTAACTCTTTTGGAATGACTCTGACCTGGATGACTGAGAATCTTCACCACCATATTGTCAAGTAGTTATTAATACACAAAATTTTAAATGTTAAATAAGTTCCACCTGAGAGTATCACTGCTGCCACCGTCTGTATTAGAGGGAAAAAATTGTGGGCGTGGCCACAGGGCTGGTCAAAGATTGGCTAAAGCCCTGGTCCCCCCCTTCTAGCTCCGCCCCTGGTAAAGAATGCAATCCCTAAAACTCAGTCTCCTACGAAATAATTAGAAAAAAATTTAATCTGGAAAAAAATTCGTCGTCTCCCGCTTTATCCGGAACCGGGTCGCGGGGGCAGCAGACTAAGCAGAGACTCCCAGACTTCCCTCTCCGCAGACACCTCCTCCAGCTCTGCTGGGGGAAGCCCTAGGCGCTCCCAGGCCAGCCGAGAGACATAGTCTATCCAGAATGTCCTGGGTCGTCCCCTGGGCCTCCTCCCAGTGGGACGTGCCTTGAACACCTCCCAGGGGGCATCCGAAGAAGATGTCCGAGCCACCTCAACTGACTCCTCTCGATGTGGAGGAGAACCGGCTCTACACTGAGCCTCTCCCGAATGACTGAGCTCCTCACCCTATCTCTAAGGGAGAGCCCAGCCACCCTGCGGAGGAAGCTCATTTCAGCCGCTTGTATCCGGGATCTCGTTCTTTCGGTCATGATCCAAATTTCATGACCATAGGTGAGGGTAGGAACGTAGACCGAATGGTAAATTGAGAGCTTTGCCTTTTCGTTCAGCTCTCTCTTCACCACGACAGACCGGTGCAGCGTCCGCATTATTGCAGCAGCCGCACCGATCCGTCTATCGATCTCCCGCTCCATTCTTCCCTCACTCGTGAACAGGACCCCAAGATACTTGAACTCCTCCACTTGAGGCAGGGACTCTCCTCCAACCTGAAGGGGACAAGCCACCTTTTTCCGGTCGAGAACCATGGCCTCGGACTTGGAGGAGCTGATTCTCATCCCGGCCGCTTCACACTCGGCTGCGAACCGCCCCAGCGCACGCTGTAGGTCTTGGCAGGAGGGAGCCAGCAGAACTACATCATCTGCAAAAAGCAGGGACGAGATCCGCTGGTCCCCGAACCAGACCCCCTCCGGTCCTTGGCTGTGCCTAGAAATCCTGTCCATAAAAGTTATGAACAGGACCGGTGACAGAGGGCAGCCCTGTCGGAGTCCAACATGCACCGGGAACAGGTCCGACTTAATGCCGGCAATGCGAACCAGACTCCTGCTCCGCTTGTACAGAGAACGGATGGCCCCTAATAAAGGGCCCCCGACTCCATACTCCTGGAGCACCCCCCACAGGGCAGCACGAGGGACACGGTCGAATGCCTTCTCCAAGTCCACAAAACACATGTGGACTGGTTGGGCAAACTCCCATGAACCCTCAAGCACCCTGCAGAGGGTGTAGAGCTGGTCCACTGTTCCATGGCCAGGACGAAAACCACACTGCTCCTCCTGCAGCCGAGGTTCGACAATCAGCCGGACTCTCCTCTCCAGCACCCTGGCATAGGCCTTTCCGGGGAGGCTGAGAAGTGTGATTCCCCGATAGTTGGAACACACCCTCCGGTCCCCCTTCTTATGGAAGGGAACCACCACCCCAGTCTGCCAATCCAGGGGGACTGTTCCCGACCTCCACGCGATGCTGAATAGACGTGTCAACCATGACAGCCCAACAACATCCAGAGCTTTAAGATACTCAGGACGGATCTCGTCCACCCCCGAAGCCTTGCCACCGTGGAGTTTTTTGACCACCTCGGTGACTTCAGCCTGGGTGATGAACGAATCCAGCCCCAAGCACCCTGTCTCTTCTTCCCCCATGGAAGGCGTGTCTGTCGGGTTGAGGAGATCCTCAAAGTATTCCTTCCACCGCCCGACAATATCCTCCTTCAAGGTCAGCAGCTCCCCACTCCCACTGAAAACAGTGTTAGCGAAGCACTGCTTTCCCCTCCGGAGGCGCCGGACGGTTTGCCAGAATCGCTTTGAGGCCAACCGATAGTCTTTTTCCATGGCCTCTCCGAACTCCTCCCAGGCCCGAGATTTTGCCTCTGCAACCGCCCGGGCCGCAACACGCTTGGCCTCACGGTACCTGCTTGCTGCTTCAGGAGTCCCACAAGCCAGCCAAGCTCGATAAGACTCCTTCTTCAGCTTGACAGCATCCCTTACTATCGGTGTCCACCACCGGGTTCGGGGATTGCCACCACGACAGGCACCGCAAACCTTACGGCCACAGCTACGGGCAGCCGCATCGACAATAGAGGCAGAGAACACAGCCCATTCGGACTCCATGTCTCCAACCTCCCTCGTAACCTGAGAGAAGCGCTCCCGGAGGTGGGAGTTGAACACGTCCCTGACCGAGGGTTCCACCAGACGTTCCCAGCAGACCCTCACTACACGTTTGGGCCTGCCGAGTCTTTCAGGCTTCCGCCTCTTCCAGCGTATCCAGCTCACCACCAGGTGGTGGTCGGTGGATAGCTCCGCCCCTCTCTTCACCCGAGTGTCCAAGACATGCGGCCGAAGATCAGAAGATACGACTACAAAGTCGATCATCGACCTTCGGCCTAGGGTGTCCTGGTGCCAAGTGCACCGATGGACATCCTTATGCCTGAACATGGTGTTCATTATGGACAATCCATGACTTGCACAGAAGTCCAATAATGAGACACCACTCAGGTCTGGAAAAATTTTTTTTTTTTAATGAAATTGAAAAAAAACACTTAAATCCAAAACTATTAAAATCAGAAAAAGAACCAAACTGCGAACATGTAGGTTGAATCTTTGACATACGTTACTCAATAGTTATTGAAAGTTAAAGTTTTTCTAAGTCTCATTTCCCCCTTTTGGAAACATGTTCTCCATTTTTCTCCATACAGGAAGCAGTTTAACCCCTTGAAGCCTGAATTGATAAACATGAACATATAAAATGTTTTTCACTTCAGTGAGATGCCAAATTAAAATAGTTAATTTTACTAAATAAATAGAAATGAAGGTAAAGTATATTTTGTAACAGCAGTTCTAACTCCATAACAACATGCACTGTGACTAGCACTGAGGTGATCCTAAAACGCTGCAAAAATGATCTGAAAATGATTAAAATGTCTTGAAATAAGTGTATTTACTCTTAATATGAGTAGGAAAATAAGATGATCTGCCAACGGAATGAGCCTTTTTACCCTCAAAATAAGATAATTAGATATTATGCACTTGAAATAAGCAACTTCAGTAGTTTTTTTTCTTATTTTAAATGTGCATTGTCTCTTTCAGATTGCAAAATGTCTCACTTACCTTCTCAATTAAAGAAAAAATGCCCTTATTTTAGGAGAAATTGACTTTGATTTACATTTCTTGCAGCTTAATACAAGCTGTTGTATTAAGCTTGTTGCTTAAAATATAAGTTTAATAAACGGATTCTCTGGCGACCTGAGGATCTGATAACATCTCAGTTCGCTTGATGTTTTCTTTGACTCATAAGGAGACGGAGCTGAAGCTCAGCCTGCAGCTTTAATAACGCCTCCAAACAGAAGATTTGATTTTCAAAATGAGATGCGGCTCTAGTGCCAATAAATGGGGGCAGCTTGTGATTCCCTGTAGATGTGAGTGAGGAAGAGCCGGCGTCCTGAAATATGGGAAGAGGTTTAAAGTCCTGACATGTTTTCCAGTGGAGACCCGCACGCTGCCCCGCTCCAGCTCCATGGCTGCAGGTCTGGAGAAGAACGGAAGAACCCGCGTCCAGGCTGTCTTCTCCCACGCCGCAGGAGACAACAGCACACTGCTCAGCTTCGCCGAAGGCGACGTCATCACCCTGCTGGTGCCCGAGGCCCGTGACGGCTGGCACTACGGCGAGAACGAGAAGACGAGGATGTGAGTCGGCTCTGGGTTTGATCCCTGTTCTGCTTCCTGGCATCGGCTTTGAGCTGAAGTCGGCGAGCAGACCGACCGGTAGTAACGGAGTTGTTGTCTCCCCACCAGGCGGGGCTGGTTTCCTTTCTCCTACACGCGGCTGATCTCTGAGAGCGGCGGCGACACCATGAGGCAGCTTCGAGTTCACAAGTAGGTCAAGTTTGATGCGTTTCCCTTTGGCTCAGGCAGAGCAGCCGCGGGGCGCCGCCATTTTTACCATCAGAGCCTGAAGTTCCCTTCAGTTAATTAATTTAAAACCTTTTTGTGAAATGATTTTATTTTTGACATTAATTCTTCTGTTTTTTTTGGATCCTCTTTATTTTAGTCTATAAACTTCATTAGTTCCACTTAGCAGTGCTCTGCTGATATTTGGCAGCATGTGGATAAAGTGACCCCTGCAGCCTTTTGTATCTATGTTTCTTTTTCTATGTCTGCTTCTGTCTCCTTGAACCCCAGTGGGCCTCAGCAGATGGCCGCTCACACTGAGCGGGGTTCTGCTGGAGGTTTCTTCCTGTTCAAAGGGAGTTTTTCCTCTCCACTGTCGCTACAAGCATGCTTAGTGTGAGGGATTGCTGAAGAGTCAATGAGTCGATGCAATCAGCTGGTTTTCCTTAGATAGAAAACTTTGAATCAATCTGACTGGATGATCTGGTGAACTGGAAAGTGACCTGAGATGACATGATGTGAATTGGAGCTATAGAAATAAACTGAATAGAATGGAGTTGCAGCAGGAGCTTTCAAACTTTCCTCTTCTTTCTTTCCAGCCTCCATCTTGGGAAAAGCAGCAGCACTGGCAACCTGCTGGAGAGAGAGGACATGAGTCTGCCCGGCCCGGATTACGGCACTCAGTCCCGGATGTCTGCACAGAGCAGCGCCACGCTGCACAGACAGCAGCGCCCCTACAGCGTGGCAGTGCCTGGCTTCCCACAGGTAAGGAAAGGTCAGAAGCTCAGAGGTTCAGGCCAGGGAAACGTTCAGCTGAGCTGCTGATCAACAATTTGTTGAGAGTCCAACTCCACTCCCACGCCTCACCTAGAAAATAACACGTGGGCGACGCTGAACTGCACTGCAGTCATGTAACAACTTCCACTGATCCTCCTGTGTCGCAGCAGCAGCGAGAAGTTCCCACTTTTCAAAGTGTTTATCACTTTTAGCTTCTCAGAGGTTTAAATTTCTCTGCTTTTTGATGCTGAATCAGAAAACGGCATCAGACCTGATGCAGAAGTTTTCACACCCTTACCTTTTCTGGAAATAAATCCCAGCAACCAGTTCTCCTCCTGATTTAACAGTAAAGCAGACGTGAAAGGCATCAAAGGGAGCATCAGCTGGACCAGAAGCCCATAGTGACTCTGGAGGAGCTGCAGAGCTCCACGGCTCAGATGAGTCGGATGCATGAGGGCGGAGCTGAATGCTGGATGAAGATGAAGATCCTGTTCTGGGTTAGAACTTAAAACCAGAGCAGAGGAAACTGATTCAGTGTGCATTTAAACCAGAACCAGTTCTAACTGGTCCCTGCTGGACCCTGACTAGAACCGCCATGGTTCCAGCCTGTATTTTAAGATGGCGTAAACGTTATTCTGAATCCAGCGCTGGGTGATGCTCCTGACGAGCCGTCATCACAACAAAAATAAGAAAAAAATATAGTGTTTTAAGTGAATAATTGCTTATTTTGAGCAAAATAATCTGCCAGTGCAGTAAGCAAATGACTTGGTAAGATTTCTTAAAACAAAAACATAATATCCGAGTAGTAAGCATCCAAAAAAACTTAAATCAAGTATAAAAATCTATTTTTTCTTTTACTCGTTAAGATTTTTTCTCTTATTTTAAGCAATGTATTCTCATTTATTAGTCAATACTGCTTAGAATTAAATAACCTCTAACCAATTATTGCTCAAAACAAGCATACAACAGGCTTAAAAACAAGGCAAATGTACTTGATACCAGTTCATTTAAAGGCTTAAAACTAGTCGGTTTTTCTTAGCCAGAAGAAAAAAAAAAAAGCTAAGGGCTGCAGAGGCCAAACAATGAAGTGATGGTGATGTAGCAGCACTATTCATTCTAGCTGATCTGAATCGTTCAATTCCATCTGGAGAGCGAGATCCTCTGTGGTAGCAACACTAGACATCTTCCAGGCATGTGAGGAAAACTAGCAGCAGTTCAGCAGACAGGATGAATGAACGGTAGCCGGCGCACGCGGTCATAGACGCGCCGCTTCATTTTCAAAAGATAAAAATATGAAAAACCTAACGGCGGATGTCTGGGGGACAGTGATTGGCCTCCATGTTCTGAATGCTGGCGTTCCATAAAGAATAAATGATGAACAGTTTAGTTTGTGCTTCAAGTCGTTGCCCATAGGAAGACGTTACATAACATGATGTAATAATGTAAAATCAAGGGCCAAATGTAAAAAAAACGGATCTATAGATGGAGAGGCCAACCTTTAGGACAGTTTTGCTGCCATCTGCTGGCCATTGTATGACAGTAAACCTCAGGATTATATGCTGGTGAAGATTCTCAGTCATCCAGGTCACACTCAGTCCAACAAAGTAAAATAAAAAAATCAATCCTCTGGACTTTATTTCCAAGTTTAAAGACGTTTCTCTTCCATCCAGGAAGCTTTTTAATTCAAAGGTCAGAAATAGCGTTGAGTTCCAGGTTTTATCCAAAGCCTTGTTTTTGTTTAGAATGCAAATGCATGAAATGCAAATTGAAATGGAAGAGCAGGTCCGCCCCTTTACAAATACGGACTTGTTTGGGTTCTTTATTAGCCTGCAATGCCCCATACTGGTCTATGCCTCAGGACTAAATGTTTGCTCTGTGCTTTTTGTTTGCAGCAGGGAGCTGAAGACTATGACCCCCGCTTCCACAGCAGGTAAGAAGCTTTCATGTAGGAATTCTGTTTATTCTGTGGGGCAGGGCGGGGGGCAGACATAAGGAGTCTGTTAGTTGGATTAGAACTGGGAACTAGTGTTAGAGATCCAGTCAGAACAAACCTGAGGGTTTGAGAGCAGCCCACACATTGTTTTTTTTCCCCTCATTTTTGTGTGTCTCCATCCTGTTCTTTCAATATTTGTTTGGTATGAAACCATAAATGAGATCTCGTCAGGTTAACTTCCTGTTGTGCCTTGGTTACGATCAGTGCTCTGATCTGATTGGCTGTGAATCCAGTTTTGAGGGTATCGTTTTTATCGAGTTTTAAAATGAATGAAAGCTGCGGGAAGTTTGGCATTAGAAATAATCTGAAAAAACTTCAACCCTCATTATTTGTCAAGTCTTGCTGCCGTTTCATCGTGCGGCCGTTTTGACCTGCATCCGTTTAAGCCTGCAGCCGTTTCAACCTGCAGCCGTTGCGTCCTGCAGCCGTTGCGTCCTGCAGCCGTTGCGTCCTGCAGCTGTTGCGTCCTGCATCCGTTTCGTCCTGCATCCGTTTCGGCCTGCGGCCGTTTCGTCCTGCATCCGTTTCGGCCTGCGGCCGTTTCGACCTGCATCCGTTTCGGCCTGTGGCCGTTTCGTCCTGCATCCGTTTCGGCCTGCATCCGTTTCGTCCTGCATCCGTTTCGGCCTGCGGCCGTTTCGTCCTGCATCCGTTTCGGCCTGTGGCCGTTTCGTCCTGCATCCGTTTCGTCCTGCATCCGTTTCGTCCTGCATCCGTTTCGTCCTGCATCCGTTTCGGCCTGCATCCGTTTCGGCCTGCGGCCGTTTCGACCTGCATCCGTTTAAGCCTGCATCTGTTGTGTCCTGCAGCTGTTGCGTCCTGCACCCGTTGTGTCCTGCACCCGTTGCGTCCTGCACCCGTTGCGTCCTGCACCCGTTGCGTCCTGCACCCGTTGTGTCCTGCACCCGTTGTGTCCTGCATCCGTTGCGTCCTGCACCCGTTGCGTCCTGCACCCGTTGCGTCCTGCACCCGTTGCGTCCTGCACCCGTTGCGTCCTGCACCCGTTGCGTCCTGCACCCGTTGCGTCCTGCACCCGTTGCGTCCTGCACCCGTTGCGTCCTGCAGCTGTTTCCTCCTGCAACCGTCGCGTCCTGCACCCGTTGCGTCCTGCACCCGTTGCGTCCTGCACCCGTTGTGTCCTGCATCCGTTGCGTCCTGCACCCGTTGCGTCCTGCACCCGTTGCGTCCTGCACCCGTTGCGTCCTGCACCCATTGCGTCCTGCACCCGTTGCGTCCTGCATCCGTTGCGTCCTGCACCCGTTGCGTCCTGCACCCGTTGCGTCCTGCACCCGTTGCGTCCTGCACCCGTTGCGTCCTGCACCCGTTGCGTCCTGCAGCTGTTTCCTCCTGCATCCGTCGCGTCCTGCACCCGTTGCGTCCTGCACCCGTTGTGTCCTGCACCCGTTGCGTCCTGCAGCTGTTTCCTCCTGCATCCGTCGCGTCCTGCACCCGTCGCGTCCTGCAGTCGTTTCCTCCTTCACCTGTTTCCTTTCTTCAAATACAAATATTTTTCCTTGAGTTAAGAAGCTAAGAAAATTTTAAATGGAAGAAGATACTTTCCATTTAAAATGAGAAAAAGTATCTCCATTACTTTAAATGTAGACTATCTAGTTTTATTTTATTAAGCTGCTCAAATTAAGGTCCAGTACCCACCTAGCATCAGGCTACTGTTTAAGCTAACCCTTCATAACTTTATAGTGATCTTATTATTTACTCTGTGTTGTTTGGTTTGCACCTGAGCTGGAGAAGGAAGTGGTAAAGAAATGCGTTATTGAACATAAAATCAGCAACTCCATAAACTCCATTTGACACCTTTTTGTTGTTCTGATCCGTTGTTGCTGACGGCTGGTTTCATGTTTAAAGTCTTCAGGTCTGTTTGTTGTTTTTATTTCGGTTGAAATCATTCCACCTTCTTCAGTTTGTTCATTTTCACGTCTCGACTCCCCGCCGCTCTGCTGCTGCTTTATGTCCCAGCTCCACTCACCCAGCTCCCTGAACGTCCTGCATGTCTTTACTTCAGTCTCAGCAGGTCAGGCTCAGTTCAGATCCCAGACCTTTGTCTTTTTTTCTTTTTTTTTCAGCCAGCCCACCTCTCCTCTCTCTGTCCACAGTTCCACAGACGTCAAATTGATTTCCACAGTGTGAGACGATGTCATAGGACAGCCCCTCCCCCCTTTCCCTGCCTTCTGCTTACGGCAATAACTCGATCAATCAGAGGAAGAGACTTGGGCGAGTCCTTTTCATCTCTCCCTCTGTCCCCGAGTCGCCCGTCTGACCTGTAGCTCCGCTGAGCCGCGGCTGACAGACGAAAAGGAACAGACTCTGTGCATCAATAGCTCCAGTCCATGTGACGGACATTTTTCTGAGGAAAATTGATCTTTCAATTCTATTTCATGCATGTACATGTCTTTGTATAACTGAGGGATTAAACTTCCTTGCTATGTTTCAACTAATCTCAGCGAGGGAAAACATTAATGAAGCGCTTGATCATACGGAGGATTTCACATAAAAAAAAAACATTTTTATTTTTGCTGAATTATTTCTGCCTTTTCATGCTGTGAAGTTTTGTATTCCTCCGACCTGAGAGGTCCTGTAAATGTTTGAACGAAGAAACATGAATGTTACCTGTACATACCTGTGCCATGAAACGTGATTCTCACACAGTATCTATTTAACGGAACAAAATGCACTTTATGAAACTAATAATCTCTGTCTGGGACTCTGTGTGAACCATGAACAGTTTTCCGTATTGGTCTGTGAACTTGGACACTGTGCTCAGTCACAACTGACAGGTGCTTCTAATCATGCTGTGCTGCTGAGGTGTTTCAGTGCTGATGCTGCTGCTTCATGCAATCAGAAAAAGCATCTCCTCTTTAAATGTTTGAACCTAGAAGGGGAAACGTACAGATGTTTAAACCACAGCATTAGAAGATGATTTGTTCCATTAACAATGAGCTGATAGGTCATCTAGATCAGCTGATTATCAAACCTAAAATCTCTTTAACCTTGTGATAAAACATTAACAGCTTTCCATATCGTTCCACAGCTTTGCTTCTGGTTAGGATGATTTAAAGGATTCATAATCTGGTATTTCACTGATGCATTCCTCCTGAAACTGACTTTAAATTCATGTTTAATACATTTCAGGAGATAATTTGACTTATGTGTTTGCACATACATGTGGATGTAGCATTAGCAACATTAGCACTTAGCCATGGCTCATTTAACATTATTTCCTTGTCTCTAAAACAATAGATAAGATACACGAGCAACAACACTAAGTGGTGGAATTTAAAAAGGGAGTGGCGAGCGAGGAGGGCTAATGTCGGTGAGGCGATGGCAAGGAGGGCTAATGTTAGCTTGGCGATAGCCAGGAGGGTTAATGTTAGCATGGCGATAGCAAGAAGGGCTAATGTTAGCAAGGCAATCTTGAGGAGCGCCAATGTTAGCATGGCGATAGCAAGAAGGGCTAATGTTAGCAAGGCAATCTCGAGGAGGGCCAATGTTAGCGAGGCGATAGCGAGGAGGGCTAATGTCAGCGAGGCGGTAGCGAGGAGGGTTAATGTTAGCAAGGCGATGGTGAGGAGGATTAATGTTAGCGAGGCGATAGCGAGGAGGGCTAATGTTAGCGAGGCGATAGCGAGGAAGGCTAATGTTAGCGAGGCAATAGCGAGGAGGGCTAATGTCAGTGAGGCGATAGCGAGGAGGGCTAATGTCAGTGAGGCGATAGCGAGGAAGGCTAATGTCAGCGAGGCGATGGTGAGGAAGGTTAAGGTTAGCATGGCGATAGCAAGAAGGGCTAATGTTAGCAAGGCAATCTTGAGGAGGGCCAATGTTAGCAAGGCGATAGCGATGAGGGTTAATGTTAGCATGGCGATAGCAAGAAGGGCTAATGTTAGCAAGGCAATCTCGAGGAGGGCCAATGTTAGCAAGGTGATAGTGAGGTGGGCTAATGTTAGCGAGATTATAGCAAGGAGGTGTTAATGATAGCTTGGCAATAATGGGGAGAGCTATTGTTAGCATGGCAATAGCAAGGAGGGCTAATGTTAACGAGGCGATAGCAAGAAGGTGTTAATGATAGCGTAGAGATAGCGAGGACGGCTAAGGCTAGCCTGCTGATAGCGAGTAGGGCTAATGCTAGTGTTGCAGCAAACTTCTATGAATGGCGTTAATTCAAAGGGACCAAATCTTTCTTCACCGGTTCAAACAAAGAGCACCGCAGTTAAAACGGAGCTACGTTCACTCTCCACATTTTCCATCAAGTTTTAACTGAAGGTAATTTTTATCACTAATGTTTATAGGAGAAAACTCAGATTTCCAGGCGATGAGTCCTTTAAGTATTGGAATGTTGTATTAAATTATCTCTGGTTTCCCAAATCCAAAGGAGACGTTCAGGTATTTAGTCTACTAAGCATCATCGGTTATTCACAGAGTCATTTTGGAAATTCACAGAAATTATGTCAGATTCACTTTATTTTATATCAATAAAAAATGGTTGAGGATTAAGTAGGATGTCAATTTCCAAATAAAATCAGAGGTTTGGGATGTTTGTATTGAGCTCCCTGGAGAACCACGTTCCTCCATTGTTGTTCCATCTCCGCACTGAAATTCTTCTTCAACTTTTTTGCAATAAAGCTTAAGCTTATATGGTTTTAAAGTCAGGACTTTAACTAGGCCATATGGGGAAACTTTGTTGTTCACCTTTCCAAAGCAGCTCTGTCATTGAGACTGGCTGAAGGTGGAGCTGAACCCCTTCAGAGGTTTCATCGATGACCGAACCGCAGCTCTGAGATGTTCAGCTGGGGAACATAAATGATTAAACCAAACTTCTCCATTATTGTCCTTGAGCTTTCTGCTACATTCCTGAAGCTTTAGTGAACAACAATCTTGTTTCCAACAAACCACTGAGACCTGAGATCAAAATCACATTAACATTGTTTTTTTTTCCCTCTGGGTTTGTTGGATCTTATTTAAAGTGTAAAGGTGCTAAAAAAAACTACTTCAAGCTTCATGTTTCAGGTTTTCAACGAGAAAATAAAACCTGAAAATACTTGACAGCTGTTTTCTGTATTGTCTGAACCCATCAAACACAATATTATAGGAATAAATATTAAAGGAATAAATAGAAACGTTGGGTTTCAAAGTGACAAAACGAGGGAATTTTAAGGAATGTGAATTTTCTTTTTCTCTGGAATCACTCAGGATGCAGCGGATGATAATTTGAATCTAAAAAATATGTCTGCAGCTCACGATGAGCCACATTTCAACTGGAGAAAAAGAAATGTACGATACTGCAATCACTTCTTTTGCATATTTATAAATAATAGATACACTGGAATATTTAACTCTAAAATGTAGTCCCTCAGCGAGGTCTAGAAGCACAGCATCTATACAGGTGCTGGTCATAAAATTAGAATATCATGAAAAAGTAGATTGATTTCAGTAATTCCATTTAAAAAGTGAAACTTGTATATTATATTCATACATTACATACAAACTCATATATTTCAGATGTTTATTTTGTTTAATTTTGATGATTACAAATGACAAATGAAAATCTCAAATTCATCATATCAGAAAATTAGAATATTGTGAAAAGGTTCAAAATTGATGGCCCCTGGTGCCACACTCTAATCAGCTAATTAACTCAAACCACCTGCAAAAGCCTTTAAATGGTCTTTCAGTCTAGTTCTATAGGCTACACAATCATGGGGAAGACTGCTGACTTGACAGTTGTCCAAAAGACGACCATCGACACCTTGCACAAGGAGGGCAAGACACAAAAGGTCATCGCTAAAGAGGCTGGCTGTTCACAGAGCTCAGTGTCCAAGCACATTAATAGAGAGGCGAAGGGAAGGAAAAGATGTGGTTGAAAAAAGTGTACAAGCAAGAGAGATAACCGCACCCTGGAGAGGATTGTGAAACAAAACCCATTCAAAAATGTGGGGGAGATTCACAAAGAGTGGACTGCAGCTGGAGTGAGTGCTTCAAGAACCACCACACACAGACGTATGAAAGACATGGGTTTCTGCTGTCGCATTCCTTGTGTCAAGCCACTCTTGAACCACAGACAGCGTCAGAAGCGTCTTGCCTGGGCTAAAGAGAAACAGGACTGGACTGCTGGTGAGTGGTCCAAAGTCATGTTCTCTGATGAAAGTAAATTTTGCATTTCCTTTGGAAATCAAGGTCCCAGAGTCTGGAGGAAAAGAAGAGAGGCACTTCATCCACGTTGCTTGAAGTCCAGTGTAAAGTTTCCACAGTCAGTGATGGTTTGGGGTGCCATGTCATCTGCTGGTGTTGGTCCATTGTGTTTTCTGAGGTCCAGGGTCAACGCAGCCACATACCAGGAAGTTTTAGAGCACTTCATGCTTCCTGCAGCTGACCAACTTTTTGGAGATGCAGATTTCATTTTCCAACAGGACTTGGCACCTGCACACAGTGCCAAAGCTACCAGTACCTGGTTGAAGGACCATGGTATCCCTGTTCTTAATTGGCCAGCAAACTCTCCTGACCTTAACCCCATAGAAAATCTATGGGGTATTGTGAAGAAGAAGATGCAATACACCAGACCCAACAATTCAGAAGAGCTAAAAGCCACTATTAGAGCAACCTGGGCTATCATAACACCTGAGCAGTGCCACAGACTGATCGACTCCATGCCACGCCGCATTGCTGCAGTAATACAGGCCAAAGGAGGCCCAACTAAATACTGAGTGCTGTACATGCTCATACTTTTCATGTTCATACTTTTCAGTTGGCCAACATTTCTATAAATCCTTTGTTTTTATTGGTCTTCAGTAATATTCTAATTTTCTGATATGATGAATTTGAGATTTTCATTTGTTGTCATTTGTAATCATCAAAATTAAACAAAATAAACATCTGAAATATATGAGTTTGTATGTAATGTATGAATATAATATACAAGTTTCACTTTTTAAATGGAATTACTGAAATCAATCTACTTTTTCATGATATTCTAATTTTATGACCAGCACCTGTATATCCAGCCATTCCATTTGACCAATTAGATGAGCCCTTGAATGATATATTACCTACTTTCAATTAAGTTGAAAAAAGTGAATAAGCCTTGTTAAAGATTATATTTATAAACTAAAAAATGTAAGCACCAGTATCAGCATTAATGCCTCTAAGGTTATGTTGGACCAAAAGAAATGTTTTATATCACTCTCAGAGTGTTTTTCATGAATTTCTTATAGAAACACTTTTGTTATTTTTCTTAATATATATTTGGGCAAGTTGGCGTTTCTTGTTATTATGTTGACATAATGTTTTGCCATCAAAATATTTTTTTTATTTTTTATTTAAGGTGATAAGGTCTTGTCCTGGATTCCAACAACACTAAGTATTTCACTGAGCGTCCTATAAAGGGTTAAATGATTTGAAGAAATGTGTGATTCTAATGAATCCAGAGAAACTGAGAGGTCAAAGCGCCAAAAACCAAGACTAAAACAAAAAAAAAAAAACATCACATTATAAAGATAAAGCAAATTTTTTCTTTTTTGTCCTGAATGAGGATTTGTTTTTCTATATGTCTGCTGAGTTAATCCTCATCTGAATGACAGTTCTGGTGTTTCTAAAGCGAGTCCATTCTGTATCATTTATCTCTTTAATACCACTGCTCTGCAAAAACAACAATCCCATGAGATGATTAGATATTTTTTCTAAGCTAGAGGAACATTCATTTGGATGTTTTATTTCTGCAGATCTGCATCAGATCTGGTTTAGATTGAACAATTGTTCCCCCCCAGCTTCATTCTACCTTCCCTCCTTTATTTCATCACTTCTGATGATTCTCGACGGTAAAAAGCTGCCCGTGTTTCTTCTTCCTGAAAATGGTCCAGGATGTGACGCCGTACACGG